GATTTCCACTACTCCTGGTGTCTTATAGAGATCTTGTTCTCAACAGAAAGTATTCGGTTAATACACAGTACATACACATCCTTTCCCCCCCCCTTACAAAACGCTCAGGACAATGAGTTAAATTTAAAAGCTAATGCATAATTAAACCCGAGACAGTATTTGACCTTGTTATATTCTCTTTAACTTAGAACACTCCAACTCCCTTATGAGTGCTTCCTGGTAGAAACACTTTGGCTGAAACTTAAAAGAAGTATCTTTGTCATAATTTCCTCCTTCTGACAACATTAAACTAAGGAAAATTCATGGCTAAGCAGCCTGAAAAATATTTGTTACACCAATAAATCATGACTAGCTGCACACAAGTGGTGTACAACTTAATCCTAGTTCTCCTTCTATGCATTAATATTTTACCAAGTTCACATGAAAATGGATGCAGAAGTCAAAAGATCTGCATGAGGCTCTGCAGCAATCTGTGCATATTACAGTGATGGCTTGAACTTGGAACACCCTGTTTCCTCACTCTTGCCATCCATCACTTTTTTTTAAAAATTTTTTTCATGTATATATAAAAAAATGCGTATACACACATGTGTGTATATATGCATTAGCTCAAAAGAACCTCCCTGTACAAGGGACAGTTATGGTTCTGGCAGGATGCAGCTGAAACAATCAACAAATCTAAAACTTCTGTAATACCTAAAAAGCATTCTAGGTGACAACACACATTTTATAAGCTGACACTGAAGATCTCAATTATTACCACTGACCACAAAGCAAATGACTGCTAGTAAATAACTTGTAATTCAAAGTTATCACGGACATATTCTTTTAAGTGAGATGCTACCCAAGTTATGGATCATACACCGTCTTAGAGAAAAATAATGGTTTTATTCTTAACTAATGCTTTGCTCCATCTATAAAACACCTTCACCGTCAGTTAATAAAGCATTTTAGGATTTGACGGTGCAAACAAACGGCAGGCCCCCCCCCCCCTTTAATCTAGCAGCTATGTATTTAGAGTACAAGAAATCCAAAGGCTTCAACTCCACTACTGCTGTTTTGGAATATCACCTAATGCGGCTTCATCTTACAAAGAGCCTTAGCTTTCAACCAACTTCGTAAAAGCTTATTGTATTCTCTATTATACTATTTACTGCTTAATACCTTTGGAACTCCCATTTTCTATTCTCTTGCATCACTTTCACCCGTGTTTTGCAGCACACAAGGTGGTAGTACTTCCTCGTTTGTATAACACCATCAATGAAGTGTCAGAGCCCTAGAAATAATCCGGCTCTGCAACAGAGCTGAACACTGTAGGCTACATGCGGAGAAGCAAGGCTCACTGACGGAACACGAGGTGTACAAAGGATAAAACCAAAACGGTATCTGGGAATAGAGAGAAGCCCTTGAATGTTTTTTTCAGCTACAATCAGAGGCTTAACGCCTGGGTTGCCTGTGTGCAAGTTAAAATCCAAACATTTCGTTTTCTTTAAGAAAGTCAACTAGTGTTTCTATTCAGTGAATGAAGCAACAAAAAGGGATATTTCTACTTCAACAGCAATTTCTTCCTGTGGAAAGGAAAATTACAGAGTGATCAAGCACAAGGTGACCAAGAAACTCACATTCAACTCCCCATCGTGGGTTTTTTTTTATGTGCTAAAGCAGTCTTTTTAAGTAAAAAATCTGAAGCAAGAAATTTGCTGAAGTCAAAGTTAAGTCATTCACAACCTCATACTATAAAAAAAAAAAAGAAAAAAAGAAAAGAAAATATGAGCAACTTAAAGATGAAGTTACACCACTGTTAAAATCCAGACCCTCATTTTGCCCCACAAAAAACACCTCAGTGCTTCTAACGAGCCAGGCACCGCAGTGCAACACAGCGCTGTGTGCCACAAACATGCTCTGTGCCTTTTCTAGGATCAGTAAGGACATATAACCGAGAAGCACACAATGCTTCTGCTTAAGTGTTCAACTTCAGTTTTCAACAAGTTTTCCATCTATAATTATATCGAATTTACAGCTGCTGAAACTGAAAGAGGTCAGAGCTAGGCAAAAAAACCCCACACAAACACCAGAATCTGTCAGATTTAACTACAGCCTTTAGACTTTATTAAATAATTTCTAAACAACTGAGTCTTACTTCATAGATTGCTTTAAGCAGCAGAAAGAGAAATTACTAGTTATATTAAATGGAAAAAGGTACCTGTTCCTAAAAGTCTGCAAAGACCTATGAAAAAGAGCAAAGGACAGCACGAAAGGAAAAAGCTGTATCACCTCATCCTTGGGCTTATCAAAGTGCTGGGAACGGGTTACAGGAGATCCGGTCCAATACGAAAGAACAGGGGTTTATTATGTTCATTGGTAAGCAGATACATTTGAAAGTACGACGAGATATACAAGGCTTAATGATCGAGGAAGAAACTGCACATCTGTAATAAATATGTGTCAGACAGCTATGTGATACTCTAAATAGGTCGTAATTCATGTTGCTCAAGACTCACAAGTCTTGCTTGGTCAGCAGACTACAGAAGTTGCTCCAAGGGACTTTATTTCTATAGAAGCTGAGTGAAAAAAATGTACACATTGAAAGCATTCTACTTTGCTTCTAACAGGAGTTTTATAATACTTGAGACCAAATCTTTGCAAATCCTTTTACTTGTTCATGTCCTTCCACTACTTCTTCAGGTCAGATTTTTGAAGAACATGAACGTTCCCCTGGAAGTATCATAGCAAATATTAGGAACAGAATGTAATTTATAAACTCTTGTTGTGTGAGCATACTAGGGCCAACTGGGGCTCCTCGTTCCTGATCTTAGCCTCAACATACACAGCAGAACAATGTGGAATGCATCATACAAGCCAAAACAAGTAGAATAAAATAGCAAATGACAAGCAATGGTAGCCTTTGCTTTCCTGGTTTGTCATCTGGGAAGGAAAAAAGCTTCAGGTCTTTTCTCTACAACAAAATACACTACAATTATTAATTCGCAATCAAATTGTGTCCGCACCCACACACTGCATCGTAATACACACAACTAACTTCTACACCATCAAACGGCAAAAATTCTTTCTTGCTCTATTGACATCCACAAATACAATTAAGTATTTAAGTACAGAAATGCAATCCTTGGTGACTGTAGAAAAGATTTTAAGAAACTTTACACTAACAAAAATTGTGTGCAAGTTCCAGAACACGGATACAGAGAGGCAACAGTTAAGCTACATTTGCTCTTGCTCATTTTCATGAGATTTTACCCCAAAGCATTGTAAACAACTATTTGCCCTTTTCCAGAATATTTGCGTGATGTTTTTAATGAAAACATTAGAAAAATGTACTTGCGCCCAGCATGCTGCCAGCACAAGGCAAAAAGCCAAGTCAGATATTTCACGGGTACAACAAGTCAAGCAGCTCAGGTTCAAAAAAAATTACCTTGGAGAAGAGGCTCAGCGACTTGTGCGTTCAAATTAATTTTAAGTCTTTCTCTGCAGATCAGCGAGGGTACAAAAGGTGATTCGCCAAGACCAGCAGCGAGCACACACTTACTGCACACCAAGGAGACCCCACAGCCGGGTGCCCACTGATCAGGACGGGCTCCGACGCCTCCCTCCAGCCCCCCCCTCGACGCCGCTCAACCTGCTGACGTCGGCTGCACCCCCAGGGAGCCCCGGGAGTGCCGATGCGGCTCTTTCCCACCGGCGTCTGCCCAGCACCGGGGGAAAACCGGAGGAGGGAGCAGCTTGCGCGGAGCGAAGTGGTTGAACAGGAAATACCGTTCCGGATCCAGAGCTGTGTTTTGGATCCAGAGCCCTCGCTAGGTCGGTCCGCGCCTGAAACGCTAAGCATCCCCCCCCCCCCCCCCCGCG